AACAATAGTTCTGTATGGTCAGACCAGCCACTGAAAGCTTCGGACTTAACATGGATTGATTGCACATACTCACTGGCAAGTGACACAGTATTCCTGGAAGTATTTCTGCACTACCAGCTGCCGAAATATTCCGTTTTAATATTCATTGAGTGCACATAGTCTATGGGATGCAACACAATAGTCCCAGAGATGTTTCAGCACTACCAGCCACTGAAAACTTCAGTTTCGCATGTATAAACTGCAACAAAATATTCACAAAGGTATTTTGGCACTACCAACCGCCGAAATCCTCAGTTTTAATATTTATTGAGTGCACATAGTCTCTGGGATGCAACACAATATTCCTGAAGGTATTTCGGCACTACCAGCTGCCGAAATTTTCGGTTTCGCATGTATTAGCTGCAACACAATATTCCTGAAAGTATTTCGGCACTGCCAGCTGCCGAAAACTTCAGTTTCACATGTATGAACTGCAACACAATATTACCTTTGGCACTGCAAGCTGCTGAAATCTTTGGTTTAGCATGTATTAACTGCAACACAATATTCCCAGAAGTACACTAACTGATCAAAAGTAATGTCACATGATTTTTTGGACAAAGTTGGTGCTATAACACAAGAACCAGACATTTTAAGAACTAAACTCTGGTGCATGAAACATAGCTAAAGAGGTGTAGATTGTATATACCAAGTCTGGGCATGAACAAATAAAAACTCAGGATAAGGCAGGACATTGACTGTGACAACTCCCAAAAATGGGATGTGACAAAGTGGGAAATTCTGAATGACTGCAACCTACTGGAAGCAATTCACAACTTGAGGAAGAGATATTTTGAACACCGGATCTCCCTACTATTGTTATGAGCTTCATAAAGTCTTTGGGCTAGAAAATTCTATATCCTCCCCTAAAAGGTAAATTCGAACTTGTTGTCAATTTATGTATTTTTCACTTAATATATTTGTTGGAATGAGGTAAAATAACTCCCTATCAATGTTTGTAGTGTGTATAATACAAAAGGTAGGTAGAAATATTAAAATGAACATTGCATAATGTCTGTAGAAGCTAATATCCAGAGTTTTTCTGGAAGTAAACAAGTATCCACAGCATTGGTCCTTCTTTTCTGCAAGAAGAAAAAATGCTACCATCCTTTTGAGTTAATCCATGGAGACTTGGGATGTCTTTTAAACAATGCCTGAAGTATAGCATGATAGCAAATAGATTGTCACTGGGTATAACTTGAAAAGTCCCCAATAAAAATACATTTTGCATACAGCAAGAAAGGTGTGGGGGTTTCACATCCTTGTCTAATAAGACCTCTGTTTATTTCTTTA